ATGATTATAATCATTAGTGACCTCACGAATTAACAGACCTTGACCTCACGTCAAGTAGAGCATCAGTCAATGCCATGAGACTGAATCTTGAGCCTTTCTTACCCCTAATGCTAACCTTGATCTAACCCTAACCCTAAACCTAAACCTAACCCTAACTCTAAAACTAAACCTAAACCTAACCCTAAAACTAAACCTAAACCTTAACCTAACCCTAAACCTATCACTAACCCTAAATATAACCATAACTCTACAGCTAACTCTAAACCGACCCTAACGCTAACCCTAGAACTAAACCTAACCATAAACTTATCCCTAACGGTAACCCTAACTCTAACCTTAAACCTAACCCTAACCCTGACCCTAAATCCTTTATCACGGCTATAGGAGCCAGCCTATGCATTGTCCTTTGTGCCACGTGTTCTGACCTTTGACCTCTGCGTTTGTCACAGGGGCCAGCCTATGCGCTGACCTGGAGTTGCCGGATGGCGAGGACTACGTGTATGAGCAATCGGCCTACCTCAGTTTCACTGCTGAGGAATCAACTTTCTTCCACATCGCCGACCACAAGCCGGTGACCTTGCTGAGAGACATCGTCAAGCCGTTCACGTTCATTGAACCAGACAAACCCGTCTACAAGCCCGGACAGACAGGTGAGGATGATATATTTGCTATAACCCTACTAGGCGATTGTAGTGCGTCTGTAGATGAAGGTCGTAGATGTCATATTATTTCTTTCTTTTTTTCATTTTCTGCATATAAGCAGTATAGATACTCTAGTCATAGAGCACACATCAGTTGTATGCAAATATTTTCTACCTCGATTGCTCTACTTCATGCAACATTTTTTCTCGAGGTAATATTTGCATACAACTTTGCTGTGTGCGGTGAGCATCAAAGATCAGTGCTGCGCTCCATGCAAAAATTTGTGTGCACGAACATTAACATACAATGCGCGTGCCTATGGTAAGCTCAATATTCATTTTCACGTACATTTTAAATATTAATAACATTTCTTCATGTCCCCTACTTCTACGGGCGATACCTTGTTGTCATTAAATCTCATTATCGTGGCCTTTTTGCAGTTAAATTCCGTATCCTGACACTTACTAAAGACCTGAGACCTGTCGCAGAGAGGGTGAGTATTAATTACTACAACTCCATCCCCACACACATATAGGTGTCACCACTAAGGCTGAGAGGGTCTATGTCCCCCAGGGTACTGCTGGAACGTACCCTGGTCACTATTTGATATGGTTAGGGTTAGGATTAGGGT